AAATTATAAATTCTAGCTCCGTCCCTTCAAATTGATAGTCATCTGATTGTGAAAAGTAAGTGCTTAGTTTGTATGCAAACTGATAGTCTCTATATGTGGATTAGACAAAATACAACAAATTTTTCTTCATGTATTGTTGTGAGTTTTACAATTATTAAAATGAAAACTATTTTGAAAATATTATTTTGCAAAGTAATCATTTGCAAAATAAATTTTGAAAATATCTTGGTTTTTTGTGATCAAAGAGAGTGGTGAATTGCAATGCTTGCTGCAAATATCTCATGAAACAAGTAGCACTATAGTCATTGATTGATCATTCTACAGTGAGACAAGGCAAAAAGACTTGTGTGGCTTTTTTTTTTTAATATCCGTTCCAATTTCATTAATAAAAGGACATTACAAGAATATAGCTCCACAAAAGGCTCTTGCAAACAATAAACACAAATATTGCAAGACAATGAGCACAAACAATTTTACATCTTGAAGACCCAGCTCACTAGGAACTGAAAAACATAAGAGGATTCGTAAAGCCATTGCATCCGGTGCTATAAAATTTCATATGAGAGATAGAACTCTCTACCAGTTTGGGAGCTGGGACATCTACTAGTGGAAAAGTAAATCTCGCTGAACTTCCACCACGACATGATCACAACGTCCTCCAAACACCCCTAAACCCAAAGCACCAATGTGCCAGTTCAGTGGAAATAATGAAGATGGAGTCATGGATCGGCTGAGTGTTTGGGAGTTGAAAGATGATCAGGTCGATAACGATAGCAATTGGCATTTAGTACGCAGAATTTCCCTGAACGGGATGTTTTCACAAAATCCAGTGATCATGAAATGGAGAGATCAGAGCTGCTGGCGCGATGAGATAATGTTGCTTGCTTTCGACCCAAATGATGATGATATCTTGTATGTAGATTTTATTGGACACGTTGTCATGTTCAACATTAATGATGGAGGAAGGATAACGTGTTATTTGAGCACTCCGCGTAGCTATGGTACGATTCAGAATCACCATAGGAGAGCTGTCTTCCCATTTGTGATCCCATGGTGGCCGACTCCAGTAACTACGAGACAAAAACAGAGCTTGAGTTCAAACCACATGTAGCGAAAGAAGCGTGCTTGCTCGGTGGCTGCAAGAACATCACAACATAGGCCAAAAAGATAGATCTACACTAATCTACAAAGATCCAACCAAAAAGGTTGGTAGGAAGACCCTAGAATAACTAGGTATGAGACAAACCTTGCAAAACACAAGGGAGACAAAAGTCTAGCACGGAATTGGGCTAGGAAGAAAAGCCCTATGTAAGTACAGGCTAATGAAAAAAGTTGTGCTTCCAGTACAAAGAAACAGAACGCCCGCCCTGCGGATAATTTGAAAGCAGGTAAGAAGGGAAAAGCCAATGAGGACACCGTAGTGAACAAAAAGCAAAAAAACAGTTTTCCTGCGGACACATTGAAGAGTGGCACTAGCAGTACAAGCAGTAGTAGTATTAGATCAGGTGGAGGAGAGAAGATGAGGAGGGAAATAGTAGGTGGTAAGGTTGCTTCTTATAGGTGGAAAAGTATAGTGTTATATATGTTACTTACCACGAAACAACAAGTTCGATTAAATCCTCGAACTTATTTTAACCCTTGGCATCATTTAAAAAGTTACTATATCTAGTAATATAATATATGGTGACGGCCTGTTTGATCTTGTAATATATATTTGGTTGCAACCCAATTGAAACCACCCCAAACTTATTTGACATTCCACTATACGCTCACTATTCCGTTTGATTACGATGAATTTTTTGTAGATTCTAACGGAGTTTCAATAAGCAAGGCTATGGAAAGTAAGCAGCTCTTTGAAATATTGTTACAAATTCCATTAGCGCTTGAAGTTTTGGCCCCCCCAAATTATAAATTCTAGCTCCGTCCCTTCAAATTGATAGTATCTGATTGTGAAAAGTAAGTGCTTAGTTTGTATGCAAACTGATAGTCTCTATATGTGGATTAGACAAAATACAACAAATTTTTCTTCATGTATTGTTGTGAGTTTTACAATTATTAAAATGAAAACTATTTTGAAAATATTATTTTGCAAAGTAATCATTTGCAAAATAAATTTTGAAAATATCTTGGTTTTTTGTGATCAAAGAGAGTGGTGAATTGCAATGCTTGCTGCAAATATCTCATGAAACAAGTAGCACTATAGTCATTGATTGATCATTCTACAGTGAGACAAGGCAAAAAGACTTGTGTGGCTTTTTTTTTTTAATATCCGTTCCAATTTCATTAATAAAAGGACATTACAAGAATATAGCTCCACAAAAGGCTCTTGCAAACAATAAACACAAATATTGCAAGACAATGAGCACAAACAATTTTACATCTTGAAGACCCAGCTCACTAGGAACTGAAAAACATAAGAGGATTCGTAAAGCCATTGCATCCGGTGCTATAAAATTTCATATGAGAGATAGAACTCTCTACCAGTTTGGGAGCTGGGACATCTACTAGTGGAAAAGTAAATCTCGCTGAACTTCCACCACGACATGATCACAACGTCCTCCAAACACCCCTAAACCCAAAGCACCAATTGATAGTAGATGCACAAAATCAACAGCTTCAACCTTCCACATAGAGATCTGATGGAGATCCACCTCATCAACCCCAAAATTGCAAGAACATCACAACATAGGCCAAAAAGATAGATCTACACTAATCTACAAAGATCCAACCAAAAAGGTTGGTAGGAAGACCCTAGAATAACTAGGTATGAGACAAACCTTGCAAAACACAAGGGAGACAAAAGTCTAGCACGGAATTGGGCTAGGAAGAAAAGCCCTATGTAAGTACAGGGGGAGGTAACCCGATTTATTTGTATGATGGGATGATTACTAGGAAGAAAGAGAGAATGAAGATGGAAGGAGAGAGAAGGAGGAGGGGACGACTAGTGTGGTTGAGTTTTTTCTCTAGGGAGAGGGAGTAGGGAGGACTAGTGTGGCTTTAAAGCAAATAAATGCAAAGAAGTGAAGATAGATAGAGAAAATATATCTTCATATATAAATTCCTACTTTTAAAGTATCAAGAATGATTTATTGATAACCTAATATCAACCACAATTATAAGAGATAATAATTGTTTGAAAGAACCTAATATCAACCACAATTATTGTGAGGGTGGCTTAGCTATCTATGCAATTTCATATTTACTTAAGAAGAATGGAAAAGTAATTTGCTTCTTTGAAAGAGATAATAAACAATTACTGATTTGATAATAAAAACCAAAGTTATGGAATAGATACATAAGAAAACTGCCATCAAAGAATTGCCACTGGTGGAGCTAGATATCAAAGGAGGCAATTTATCATAAATCAATTTCCTTAGGAATCTTCATAGTGCGTCCACCTTATTCAGACTTGATCTATATCAGGAAAAAAATTTGACACTCTCCCTGCATGCATTACCAAATTCGTCAGCTTGAGGATACTTGACTTGCATGGCTGCAATAGGCTTGTGGAAATTCCAGAACTTTCACTGAAAATAAGATGGCTAGATGCATGTGATTGCGTATCATTGGAAAGATTTTTGAAATTGTCGAGCGTTTTGGAGTGTAAATAGTCAGAAATGATTTTTTGGATGGACTTGTCTAATTGCCAGAAACTGTATGGCAATCTGGCTCATGGTGTGTCAAATACGAAAAATGTTTTAGTTGTTAGGATCAGTTAGTGCTAGAATGGAAATCTTCACAACTCAAACAACAAACATAAGCAGAAAAATAAAGAACACCAGGAATTAACGTGGTTCGGCAATGCCTACGTCCATGGGGCAGCAATATAAACTTCTTCCACTATAAAAAAATAATGGGTACAACAAGAAAGATCTTACCAAGCCAATGCCCAGGGCTTGATGATGCACACAGAGAAAGTACAATGACACCACACTATACTCTCCTGTTTTTACCTCACTCACACACTTGTAGTGGTACACAATTAACTCTCTCACTCTCACAGAATTGGAGTGGAATACTGATGGCTGTTTGGATGGTGTTCTCTCACTTCTCTCTCTTGCTCTCGGCTTCTCCAACTCTCTCTGGCTCTTCAGCACACAAGACTCACACAACTCTATCTCTCATACAACACTCTGTCTAGGCCGCATGCTCCTTATATAGCCAAGTGAAATGGCTGAAAACCAACTCCTAAAAGTAGCCCACGTGCATGCAAAGAGCCATAATGATAGCTAGTCAAAAAACTTCCCAAAGAGAGCATCATGATGTCTTCCATCATTACAAAAACACTATCATTTTGTCCTTCATCATAATGTTGCACCGAAAGAGTATTCTATCATGGTGTTGGATGTTCCCCACAGAAAGAGACATCATCATGGGCTGGACCATTATGCCAACATTAGTGAATGATCAAGGTGCTCTCTTCTCTTATCTCTTTTTAATATCTTCTGAGCAATCTAAATTCTAAATTGTATTTCCTGAAAACGAAGTTCCAAAGAGGTTCAGCTGTAACAAGGACTTGGAGGAGGTTGAAAGATTTGTG